ATTTAAAGTAACAAAACATTATTTAATAAGAAATAACAAATAAAATACAGCTATGGAGAGATTATTAATCCCTATCTTATTCACGTGAGAGAGAGATTTACAAGTATTAAGACGTACTACCTCAATTGTAGATCTTGAACTATATCTTCTGATTGATGACGAATCATTGATAAGGCGGGATGACTATAGTGAAGTTTGGGAGAAGGATGAAGTTCTAGGCGGGAACTTATGATGCACAAGTTACTTCTGTGGATGAGAGATTCTTATGGCACTTTACAAATTCTTGTGGACTGCTGGTCTCTTATGGCAAATCTGTTCTTCTGTAGACTGCGTGTCTCCTATGGCAAATGTCATATTTCTGTTGACTGCCCTGAATGGCTGGAAAATCACCTTTTTTATCATCATCCATTGAAGATTGTGATTGGTCAGCATTTAAGTTCACAGACGGGATGTGTGGGAACGTGAAGAGAGGGTGGACTGCCAGATGGATGTCAAACCTTGGAGATAAAGGATTGTAAAAGAGAAGTTGATTTCCCCTTTTGTCATAAAAGTGAGAAATGTAGTTCCTTTAGTGTAAACAACATGTGGGAGAAATTTATTTTTTCTCACTAATTTATTAAAAATTTTGAAGGAAAATATCACTCTCGTGTACTTTCTCATCATCTCCATTTACACGAGAAAGCAATATTCTATCGAAAAATGAAGGCAGTGATGTAGGATCTCTTCCATTAGAGGAGAGATTTCTGATCAAAACGACTCATAATCTAGGATGAAGTATTTTTAATTCCCCATTTAATTAAATTAATTGGATAATTTATCCAATAAATAAAAAGACAGTCAATTCCAGAAAAAAATTTTTTGGAATTGACTGTCTTTTTATTTATTGAAAAAAAAATTTTTACATCCAGCGAAATTTTAAAAATGGATAATTTATGTCTTGATTCTCACAATATTCTTGCAATAGAAACATATTAAATTGTACAATAGCAATGTACAATTGAATATTTTTTTTGAATATATTACAATTGAATATAGCAATGATGTAAAAATTGTTGTTGTTATATATAATTAAATTCACTAAGATACAAAAAGAGGCTTAAAAGCAATACCATATAAATCTTTTACATTTGTAAATTTGAAATGGCATTTTATCCAAGTTTTTGGTTATCTGAGGTAGCATTGGTCTATGTTATTTCAGATAATCAAAGTTATATGGTATAAAATGAAAACTTAAACTATTCAAAATCATTAATTTTAATTATTTAATAATTATGAAAATGGTGTAAGTCTATTCTATGGCACAAAAAAATATATTTAATTCTCATAAAAATCATTTGTATAATGAATTTATACATACAAACTTCTATATAACAAAGTTGCTAAATCTTGAAAAAAAAAGGGAGATTTTGGTATACAGAAATAATGTTTTTTGTATATAAAGTATTATTCTAATGTAATTTTTTTTATTTTACATAATTCAAATTAATGTAAACATAATATACAGTAATAACATAATTTTAAGTAAGTTTACATTTACATGTTAAAATACAAGTTAGTTTAACTATATTTTCATTAAAAAATTTGTAATTTTTTTGTTGCACAGAATCAAAAAATGTTCTCTCTTCATAATATGCTTCACACTTATTAAGAGCATTAAAAATGCTTCTGGGCACATTTTTTTAATGGTGCAGTCCACTATGAATACTACAAAATGCTTTAATCGGTTTTTTTGGTGGGATCATCATCATCAGCATCATCTTGGATTGTTTGGTCAGTTTGGTTACTTTTTAAGGTTTCCAAAATTTCTTCTCCACTAGGATACTGTGTGGTAATGATATCATTGTCAATGTTGAGATAATCATCTAACATAATATTTGTGGTAATTTTATTGAATTGACATAATGCTTCCCATGATTTTTGTAAATTCAAAAGGGATAATTCATCGGCTTCATCCCATTCACTAAAGTTTTTGTTAAATCCTGGTTTGGTAAAACGATTTTTATAGTGATCTTTTATAGTGATTTATCAATTCTGATATATCAGAAAGACATTCTCTTAATTTTGTCAACTGTATTGTTTTAAATCCCATTAATCATCATCATTAAAACTCTCTTAATATAATGGAATTTAAGATTTTTGATTATGCCTTGATCCATTGGCTGATGTTTAGATGTTAAATTTGGAGGAAAAAGAACAACTCTGTACTTTTAAACCTTTTTTGTGACTGTAGAAGGATGTGCTGGCAGTTATCTACAACTAATGCAATTTTTCTATGTTCTCTTTGTCATTTGTTTGTCTAGTTTTAATAACCAGTCATCAAAAATCTTGCTAGTCAGTCACCCATTCTCTCGTATTAAAATGATGAATCCACTTCAAGAGACTTCATCCCTTCAAAACATCATGGATTTTTGTTTTTTTCAGTTACTAACAGTTTCAGCTTTTCACTTCCTGTCATATGTGTTTCAATTAATACAGTGATCCTTTCTTTGCTCTGCTTTCCACCATCATCAATCATTTTTAAAAGTGAGCATTCTATTGAATGTACTGTACTGTACTTGTAAAGAATAAACCAGTTTTGTCTGCATTGAAAAAGTTCTTTCGCTCATATTTTTCCAAAATCTGTTTCAACATTCCATTCTTTCATAGATTGCAGTCTTCTTCAATAATAGCATACTTTCATCTTACACCACTTTTTCAACTATGCTATGCCTTTTTTAAAATTTATCCAGCCAATTAGTGCTTCCTGGAAATCTGTATGTGAGGTTCAGAGTTTTTTCCACTCCCACATGATAGTTATGGCTGTGTGACTGTCCTGACAAACACAACCCTGTTGGCAAACCTCACATGTATATCCAAGTGATTCTGCAAACTTTAAAGCTTTTTGTTTAATTAGCAGTCCTGGTAATGGTATACTCTTATCTCAAATTAAATGTATCCACTTTAAAACTGTTTCATCTTCATCAACATAAACCCAGGTTCTTACATGTTTTGCTGTAGGTCTCGCGTCATCTGCTAATTTCAAAATTGATTTGCAGTTTTTTATTATAGTTTATAAACTATTCACAGGAATTTTGAACTTTGCTTCAATGTCTTTTTTTCTTTTTTGAACCTTTATAAATTTCCTGCAACACATTAATTTTTTATAATGTTTAAACATTTTTGCTTTGACATTTTTGTACTACAGTATAGAACTGTCTACTCTCAAACCTGAAATTAAAATAAAATTGAAATGCAACTTTCCATTTTAATGTTTCTGAGAATTCTCATAGACAAATTTAGGAAAGTCCCTTTGAACTTCATATAGCATGTAAAACAATTTAGATATGACTCATCTCACCTGCATAATTAAGACTGCTTTCTCAGTTAAACACTATACTGTACACAATAAAAATGTCACTGATATCCATATTCATTGTACAGACTGCCCTGATTTTATAACAGGAATGTGTTTTCAGAGAAGGCAGAGTAAATGAAATTGGCACAAAATTAATCCATTATACTGTTCAGTGCAGTACAGTACTGTATTATGAAGTGAATAGGGATTCAAAAATTTGTACAATAATTTGTTTTTTCAATAAAAAAAATGTTAACTATAAGTTAAAGTATTTCTAAAAAATGCTGTATAATAGAGTATTACAGTATTTGTATTAAAATAAATTTAACTGTAAAACATTGGATGAAAACAATTTACAATTAACAAAATGCCCTTGTTGACATATAACATCTCTCCTTTCTTTACAACCAATAGCCATATTGGGGCAGATTACATGATGATTTTAAAAGCTAATGACCAATATTTTTCACACCTGGGCAGTTTTACAAAGGGTTTACAGATTGAACCTAAATTTGAACTCTATTCAGATGGAGTAATTGACTTTTAATGATCAATAGTCCTTACAAATTTTAAATTTCTATACAACAATTTTTTTTAACTTAGTTATTTAAAAGTAATTTTAATTGTATTTTTTGCTGAAAAGCAGTGTACAATGCAAAAATTCATTATACAGAGAAATTTGCTATGTAGAAGCTCATAATATGAAAGTTTGATTGTGTTTAAATTTATACAAACATGGGCAAACCTAGCAGACTATCACTGTTTTTAAATCAATTTGAAATGCAAACCCTTAAATTAAATAACTCAACATGAGGAAAAATGGACTTAAACCACTTCTTTAATAAATAGTCCATTTATTTAAATTGATGACATTTCACACATATATTAGCTATAGTAAAAGATATACTGCAAAAACCCCACATGAAAACAACACTGGGTGAACTACCATAATTTCCCACCTCTAATCTACAGGTTCAAGTTTTTGTTAACAAAAAAAGTTGCTCACATAATTTATTATACATGATTTGCAGATTAAAGGTAGAAAATTATGATAATATTAATTAGTAATAATTTTAAAAAAATGTATAACTAACTTAAGTTAATTATTTATAATTAACATCAGTCTACAAGTAGTGGAAATTGTTTTCTATAATCTTATTTACTTCCCTTCCTTAATGTAATCAATCTTCTGTTATTGTTAAATGTGAGCCCAAAGGATTCAGATGTAAATCTTAGGAGGGGGTATTTTTAATTCATGTAGTTTCTTTTAAATTATTATTAAACACTATAAAATGTAACAGTCAAAAAGTAATTATAAATTACTTAAAACTGGATTTGTTATCATTTGATTATTATCGGGCTATGTCCTTTTGGCTTTTTTTTTAATATTAACAATCAAAGTGGTAAAAGCATAAGCTCATCATTTTGAGTGATCTAGATCAGTGTTTCTCAACCTTTTTTTCATTGTGGACTGTAAAATCATGGGTAATTTTACATGCATCAGTAATTATATGACTATGAATTGTGCTTATTTTATTACACTTATATATGCTTATCTAGTGTTACTGTACATAACAAAGTACGTACAGTAATTCTAGATTACTATTTAAATGTTGCCCATAATCAACTGTGTCAGCATCAGTACAGTCAAATTATTTTTCTGCAGACCAGTGAAATTTTTTTGCAGACCAGCACTGGACCGTGGCCTAGCAGTTGAAAAACAGCTGATCTAGACTCAAGTCTGGGTTGGATCCTTGAAAATATTCTTGGATAATTTGACTTGGATGTCGAGCCTCCTTCATAGCCTATTTTGGACTAGCTAAATCCACAATACATGAAAAATTTTCTGGTAAGATTTGTGGGGTAGAAAGAAATATTAAAAAGTAAAGTTGATTATTTTGATAATCTACTACTTAAGGATTATATATAAAATCAAGCCCAAATTATGCCATTAACCAAAGTATAGAACTTGACTAATTACAGATATTGAACCTGACCTGAACTTGCAACTCCTGCTTGCTATGCAGATTCATTGCCAATAACCAGAAAAGATCATGGGTATATAATCATCAATTGGCACAGCAATTGTCCTGTATGAAGGTCTAAGTAGAATAATTGGCAAAGCATCTGCATGAGAAGCAAAGTCACAGAATCCAAAGTCCCACTTTGGATCAATCTTTTCTTTCAGAATAGTCTAAATTAATTTAATCTATAATTATTAAATATAATACAAGATGGCAGCAAAACTACCTTTAGTCCAGGTTATGTAATATCTTTAGAGTTAATTAGTCAGGTTCTAGCGCAATAGCTAATCCAAGTTCTATCATTGATTAATTAAGTCAATATTTGAACTCTTAAGTAAACAATTAATGCAAACAAAATACAGATATTCTAATTATTGTATACAAAAAGAATGAAAATTGTATTTTGTTTTTATAAAGAATAAAAATTTCATGTATATTTATTTACTTTTTAAATCATAAATACATCTAAATTTCTGAAATTAATTTACTTGTATTATTTTTATTTTATGTAGCTTGAAATGGAAAATGATGATGTTATAGAAGTATACCAAGAGCAAACTGGAGGAAATTATAACTTTTGTGATAGCAGTTCATGACAATATTTTTACTAGTACTTGATTGCTTACTGTTTTCTCAATTCATTATATTTCCTTTGAAATTAGTACAAGGTGGCTGTTGAGAACAAATCACAAAGGAACTCTTTTTGAGTGGAAAAAGTAAGTTTATTTTCTATAATTTCAAAGGTTATGCATTTCAGGCTTAATGCCCCCTTCAGTCCTAATATTATAGTGATAGCTGGAATAACTAAATTATTAAAACCATGGGTAAAATAAGTAAAACTGTAAAAATAAATATAATTTCATAAAATGTATAAAGTTTTTTGATTAAAAATGTAAAACCTTAAAAACCAATTAAAACTGCTAAAATTAATTTTATATGATTTAACCAAAATAATTTTATTTGTACAGTTTTATTTATTTTACCCCTGGTTTTAATAATTGTTATTCCAGCTGTCACTATAATAATAGGACTGAAGAAGACCATTAAGCCCAAAATGCATATCCTTTGAAATCATAGAAAATAAACTTATTTTTTCCACTCAGAGTTCCTGTGTGATTTTGTTCTCAGCAATAACCTTGTGCTAATTCTGACAGAAATACAAAAAGTATTTTTACTATTTAATTTGTAACTTTGTTCATTTAGAATTTTTTTTTGTAAAATTTAAAATATTCCAAAAATCTTTTTCTGAAACTTTATCACTTTTACTTAATTTTTTTTTTAATTTTGTAATAATTTACCATAATTCTTTCTCAAATGTTTGAATGCTCCTATTAAGACTCTAGCATTCATTTTAAGAAATGTTTTAAAATATTTTATAATAAATATTTTGCTTATATACTTGGTTTAACATTCTTGGTTGAAGAGAGTAATTTGAATTCACTTCTTTACATTTCATTTTGTTAAAAGTTCTGAAGTATAAATTGTAAAAGTTCATCTTATAAGAGGCAATCTGTGGTGTGCTGCACCACTGGCAGACTAACAATGCTAACAATTCCCAAAAATTTTAGAAATTGAAATTCAAATGTCATATATAAATATATAAATTCAACATAAAAGTATTATATAGTATTATATTAGGTGAATAATTTTATAGGAAGAAAGTTTTGGAAACTTTTGAAACTTTCAGATTGTGAAACCACATCTTATTTTAGTTATGATTTAATTGACTTCTAAATAGCCAAACTCCATCAAGTATGCCATGTCACAAGTTGGTGTAATTGCCATGTTACTTTGGAATCTGAATATCAAATACAGATTATTCAGTAGTATATGATTAATTGTAAAACAGCTTAAGCCAAAGTTATTCTTGCCGAAGTTTTGACCAAATCTGCAACTGGTGAAACAGTATTCATACGACTCCTTTCTTGCAATGAAAATGAGAATTTATTATGAAACTAACCTTTGTCATGACTATTAACAAATTGTAAAGCTGAACCCTCCACAAAGTTTGTATTTATTTATCCAAACCTACTTTTATCAAAAACTTTGTTACCCTATCCAAGGGTATGGCAGTAACCATGATGTAAAAATAAAAATTGTTAATGGCAAATTAATTCCTGGTTATGATAAAATATTTAACAACATTGTATACAAGGGAATATTTATATAATAATTGTTTCTTTATTTTTATTTTAAATTTAAATACATATTCAGGAACTTTTTACAATACATGACACTAATTTATTATCTGTATAAAAAGTTTAATTTCAGATAGCCAACTGTTTAAATTTTTATGAAGGAACATTTTCATCATGTTTTAGGACAGAGTCAGCTTCTTAACAGGACAAAAACATTCCTTCATAAAAATTTAAACAGTTGGCTAACTGAAAGCAAGCATTTATACCAGTGTTTCTCAACCTCTAACAAATCGTCGCCCCTTCAATAAAACTTACGTAATATTGCCCCCTTCACTACAAAATTCCGATGCCGAGGGCCAAGTTCATACTGCTTTGAATAGACTAGTGACTATTATAATGTTATTTGTTTAATTATTGTACGATATAATGAATAAAATATCTAATTATTCTTAATATAATGTTTTACTATATCGCCCAGAAAATTGTTTTTCGCCCCTCCGAAATATAAATTGTTGCTAATTGCCCCCTGAACATGGGAAAAACACCCACATGGGGGCGATATCGCCCGATGAGAAACACTGATTTATACAGATAATAATATGAAGCCAGGAACACAAGGTAATATTTAATGATGCTAATTTTAAAATAATTTGCTTAAAGTACCAGGTTATCATGTAAGAGATCACATTTTCCAATCTGATGTGTATCTTTCAGGCATTTCTACATCATTTTATTTTATGGTTCCTAGATGCCCATTGTATTAAGCTCAATGGGCTTTATTTCTAATGCTTTAATAAACCAGATACATATATATCAAGCATCTTTTTCTTCTTAGTTTAAGGTCTCTGCTGATAATTAGAAATAATTATTAAATAATTTTAATACAGTATTTAGAGAAAAATGATATTCCCAATACAATAATATCTTGAGTTATGTAGGAAATGCCTTTTATGTAATGCAAATTTTACACAAGTTGAATTTGTAAATTGCTTAAGTATAACTATGTAATTAATAACTCAATACTGTATTATTATATATGTACTGTACATATTTACAAGAAAGAGTGCCTGGTATGCTTGCATATATGCTTATAATTGGGATGTTCAAATGTAAAGGATTAGCAGAGCAATAAAATAATAAAGTACAGTAATAAATCAGTACAGTGTGAAAGGGAGAGGGAATGAATGAATGTTTGAAATAGAATAATTCTTTGGAAAATTAATGTTACTCTACTCAGATTTTCTTCCAATTTTTGAGATTTACATTTTACATAACTATTACTGTTATGTAACACACGTGTTACATAACTCAGGGTATTACTGTAAATCATTTAAGTCTTTATGATAAAAACTCTGAAAACTGCATTTGTCTTAAACCACAGTACTACTACTCAAACCTTCAAAATGCAGTACAATTTTAATTTTCAAATGTTTTTGGTCATCTTAACAACAACCTTCTTCAGAACAGAAACAAATTCCCATTTGAAAAAAGAATGAAAGCTGAAATGCCCTCTGGAACAAGTTGACTTTGAATATTAACATTCTAGAGCAAAGAATTTGTTGTTCTAAAATTTTTTGTTGTGCATACAACATTACATGGATTAGTTGCCATTTTGTATACTAGATCTGTGATTAGACACATTTAGGACATCCTAAATTCAGTTTTAGACATTACCATATTGGACACACAAAAAACATCAACGTGTGCTGCAAATGGGACTTTCACTAATAATGATCATTATTGTATGTTTCAATGAAGTCCCATATTAATCTATGGAAAATGTCCAAACTTCATCCTAGAGGTCTAGACCACTGATTGCCAAACTTTTTTGAGTCACTGCCCTCTTGGTTCCATAAACTTATATCCAATGCTCCCAACCCATTTTCCCTTGTGAGAAAGGCTTGAAAATATTCTTAGAAAAGTTTTTTCTAAACCTCTAACTTTTTGTCCTTACTGTACATTGTTCTCCATATCTGGAAACCATTAAATGCATCTTACCTGTTTTAACAGAGGAAAGGAAAGGTGGTCAATGACCGCAATTCTCACCTATTCAGTACCATGCCTCCAGTGCCCTCTAGATTTCACCCACTTTGGGAACAACTGGTCTAGACTGTGCCAATAGGGGAGGAGTGTCAGGATTCTTGCTGTGTTCTTTCCAAGATAAACTGCAACACAACAGACACCTCTAAATTACATGTCCTACAGGTAAATCCAAGTGTTAGGAACACTCATTCAACAGCAATATGTTAGTGTGCAATGTTTTGTATGAAGGTTTATCAATACAAATGTAGTTATAATGTAAATCTTTTTATAAATGACAAACTATTTGATAAAGTGAAATCAAAATATTTATTTTTTTGCTGATATCATCATAAGATTAACTATTAACAATTTGGTTTTTTAAAAATTTTACTTTTACAATTTATGAATTCATATAAAAGTTTCATGATTTTTGATTGTATGACAATTGATACTTTATAATTTTTAATGTTGAAAACATAGCATATTTCTTAATCAAAATTAATAATTTTGGACTGAATTTATATTTTCAACAGTATTTAATCCCAAGTACCAATGCTGCTTTCATTTTATATTAATATATTAAATAAACATTTATTGGTGAGTCTTATGACTGAATGCATCTATATTTGATCTAGATCAGGTACTTGTGCAAAGAGATGTTTGTTTAAATTAATATTGAATGTACAGAAGCTAACAATCTTCACTTCTGTGGTTCACACACTGAAGTTTAAACTGTGGTGGTGATTCGTACATAAAAAATTGATTGAACCTAATCTCATATTCTTATCATTATTGAATTATTGATGTATCACTTATTCTTCTCAGGTATCTTCATTTTCGGTATGATTCTTTTTGTTTATTTTTGACTGAATATCACAATTTTCAAGATGCTTTTCATCATCTTCAAACCAAGGAAGGTTAAAATCACTGTTAAGAAAAGAAAAAGAAAATTATATTCTTTAACCAATAAACTGTTCTGATATTACACATATCATTAACACAAATCAACAAATTAAAGATAATTTAGCAATTTCAGTAATAAACTTAAAAATTTTAATAGACTAATAACAAGATTAAAAATATATTTTAGCTTAACATGTTCACTGCAATTGATGCAATCTTGTGTCATGTGACCTTCATTACAATGCAATGATGACATGATTTTGTCATCTGCATGGCTGGAATTTTTTTGTAAATGACACACACACAGTGGCTTAGCTAGGGGTGGGGAGCCTGCACTGGGTGACACCCAACCGTGAAAAAAATAAAAACTTAAACCATCACAATGTTTTTCAACGATAAATCACTTATCTTGGTTAAAATGGCTTCAAGCCTATCTATATTAAATAATTTACTTTATTAATTGTGATAATTTATAAATGCACATAATCTACGAAATAAATAATTACTCCAGATTAAAATGTTTACAAGTGGCAGTTATGCAATCACTACAGTTTTGCAAATTTAGTACAATACAATACAGAATTAATGATGATAACCCATGAAGAAGACGAATCAGAAAAAAATTCTAAAAATGACAGTGATAATGCTTCTACTATCGAAGACAGCATTTGGATGGATGAATTACTTCAGGACTTTAGAGATGTTTCACAATGGAGTATACCCATTCCTGATAATGTTCGCATTGAGATCATAAAAAAAGGAAGTAAACATTTCCAAAACAGAGGACTGTTTGCCACTGTATCTAGGCACAGGCTAAAAATAAAAGGTGATGCTTGGCATCTTTCAAAAGAATGGTTTTATAAAGTGATGCCTAATGGTGAAAAAATTCTGTGGTCATGGATGGTTTATTCTCCTATAACTAATAACCTGTACTGCTTCTGATGTTGTTTATTTGCTGTCACCAATAGTACTAATACAAAACCAACATTTACGACTGGATTTCAGAAGTGATGGAAACTAAATCCCAAAGTGGCCAATTACGAAACTTCAAGTGAACATCTGGAAAATTTTGAAAAGTGGAAAACTTTGAAAATGAGGTTAAAATTGCATGAAACAATAGATGATGCAGCCTGGGCAGGGTGCCCCATTGATTTGTTTTGCGTTCTTTTGAGCTTCACTGGCTATTCTTTGGCGAATTTCGCTGCGCTCTTTTAGTCTTGCTCTTTTTAACACTTATAACAGTCCAGGGGAAGTAGTGTCGCACCTCCACGTGGTCCTGCCCGCAAGTAGCCTCGGGGCCCCTCTTTTGGAATCTGGCTTACGATCAGCTGCTGCGTATGGACAAACATCCAGCGGTAGCTGAGCTTGCTTACGCAGACGACACAATTATTATATTCGGCGCAGACTCCAGAAGAGAGATCGAAACTATCAGTAAGCATACCCTTGATAATATAATAAGGAAAGGGAAAGATATAAAGTTGTCATTTAATCCAACAAAGACTAGAGCGATTGTTTTCTCCACGGGCCGAACAACAGATCTATACAAACGGATCCCAACCATTAAAATGGGACAGGAGAATGTCAAAGTAGAGAAGCAGCTCAGATACTTGGGCATTATTTTAGATAACAGGTTAACTTGGCTTCCTAATGCAATCTATATATGGAACAAATGTACTGTACAACAATGTTTAACGCACTGGCGAGAGTAGCCAAGTCTAACTGGGGACTCGGTCAGGATGCACTCGAAGTTATTTATAAGGGAGCCTTCATTCCACGGGCGACCTACGGAGCAATCGCATGGCACACGGCAACAGAGAAGAAATGCATACAAAACAAATTGAATAGTATGCAGAGGTGCGCCCTCCTACGGTTGACGAAAGCATATCGTACGGTGTCAACGGAGGCGCTGCAGGTGCTTGCAGGCACTCCTCCTATAGATCTTATAGTAAAAGAAAAAGCTGCTCAATATAAGTGCAGAAGGGGTGTAAGGATTACAGTGGAAGGACAGGAAATAGCTGGGCCAGAAGTTGACCTGAAACCATCAATGATTGAACTTCCTGAACCATACTACCGACAAAAGATTCAAACTGCCCATGAAGAGGAGCGAGGTGAGGTGGAGATGTTTACAGATGGCTCCAAAGTAGACGGGAAGGTTGGAGCGGCCTTTGTTGTTATTAACAACGAGAACAAAGTTTATGAAGATAAAATCAGACTAAGCGATAGTT